TTTTAGCAAGGATAATGTAATTCAACTCCAAAACTCTCTTCTAATAAACTCAGGGGTGGGGAGTTGGGAAGAGGATGTGTGTGGGTCTCAGTTTCTGCTATAGAAGACCCTCAATAAATGTTCGTTGATCTAAATAGAATTAATTTTTCATTATGTGATAGAGTATAATGGACAACCTTTCAATATTGGATAGATTTACATCCCGTGGCAATATAATATATAATTCCTTAACATAAACAAATTTACATATTTCAAAATAGGAATCTCATACTTGCCAAGGGAAATAAGCTTGGGTGAATATAATTTGCCACAGAAGAAACATGTAATTTGTATTCGAACTGAAATCATCTTGATTCATAATGCAACATCATATGGCATTTAGTTCAGTGTTCTGCATAAATTGATGTCAAGCATATCATTGTCTGAAACTGAGGTAGTTTAGTCATTTTTAAAGTTAGTGCCAAGAATCAAGCCTTTCAAAGGCAAAATTGGGTGAGATTACTTTAAGGTGCGAGACGCGAGCTCCGCCCCATACACCTGAGCGTCCCGCTTCACCTAGGCCTAGGTGAACCACATCTCCCAGCGTCCCCTGCAGGGCTCCCGCGCCTGCGCATTGTCATCGAAGGCGGTCCGACTGAACTCCCGCGCTCTCCCGTCGCGGCACTTAGCTTTTCAGGTCCGATTTTTGCCGGGGCCATGGAAGGGGTCGCGGCGATCACGGCAGGCAACGCGGGCGCTGCCAAGGCGGAGGGAGCCGCAGTCATGCCGCCGCCGCCTCCCGTGTCCCCACCTGCCCTCACCCCGCCGCCCGTGGCCGGCGAGGAGGGCCCGGCTCCTCTGCCCGAGGTGGGGGCTCCAGGCTGCTCCGGCTCCCGGCCCCCTGAGTTAGAGCCCGAGCGCAGCCTGGGCCGCTTGAGGGGCCGCTTCGAAGACTACGACGAGGAGCTGGAAGAGGATGAGGAGTTGGAGGAGGAAGAGGAGGAGGAGGAGGAAGAGCTGAGCCACTTCTCGCTGAGGCTGGAAGGGGGCCGGCCGGACTCTGAGGACGAAGAGGAGGTATATATGGCCCCCGCTTGATCTTGCTGGGCCTCCGTGGCCTCGAGGACCTAGCTCGCCCTCGCGGGTCCTCGGGGCCGACCCTGGCTCTCTGCTGCAGCCCTAGGCACTCGTGTGTACCTCAAGCCCTCCTCGCCCTGCCTGCCCAGGCGTGTGGAGGGGGGGGGGCTCTGACCCGGCCCGATTCCCAGCCGACTTGTTTTGTGAGGTCCCGGTAGGTTGCTCAGGCCCTCTGGGTACCAGTCATTCATTCTGCAAATAATTATTGAGGTTACTGCTTGACGGACGGATTAGACGCCTAGGGTGCCGTGCCCCTTGCAATCCCCGGTTTACAGTGCGACCCAGATAATAGGCACTCTACCTATTCATTCTGTATACGGAGAGTTGTTTTTCTTTCTTTCTTTCTTTCTTTCTTTCTTCTTCTTCTTCTTTTTTTTAACGTAGTAGCACATTCTTCATCAAGTTAGGTAATGCAACTGACCAAATTATTAAACTTGTCCGCCAGTATGTGTAATGTTTGCCCATTTTCTAAGCAATGTGTAATGTGTAATGAGGCCTTCTTTCACTGCCAGTATACTGCATATCCAAGAGAATGAGATCCCTCTGAAACATTGCTTTATATTGTATCATTGTAACTTTTAGTAGGAGTTTGAAGGGTTAGAGGTATAGGTTTCCATGTTGTAATGTTTCATGCTGTTTGTAACAGATCTTGAGATGTGGGGTTTTTTGGGGGGGTGAGGGGAGGTGATACCGGGGTTTGAACTCTGTGGTACTCAACCACTGAGCCATATCCCCAGCCCAATTTTGTATTTTATGTAGAGATAGGGTCTCACCGAGTTGCTTAGTGTCTCACCGTTGCTGAAGCTGGTTTTGAACGCCAGATCCTCCTGCCTAAGCCTCCCAAGCCTGGGATTACAGGCATGCTCCACCGTGCCCTGCTGAGATGTGGTTTAAATTGTTTTATTTTTGAGACCTTTCTCACTGTGTTGCCCGAGCTGATCTCCAGCTTTCAGTGTTGAGATCTTCCTGCTTCAGCTTCCAAAGTACCTGGGAATACAGACCCAGACCACCTCACCCGCTAGTTTAAGAATTTGAGAAGGCAGCTGGGCACAGGCCCTTAATCCCAACTGCTGAGAAGTCTGAGGCAGGAGGATGTAAGTTAGAGGCCACCTCAGCAAAAGAGTTGGGAATGGAGATCAGTGGTAAAGTGCCATTGGGTTCAATCCCTAGTGTGCAGAAAGGCAGGGGAAAAAAATGAAGTTTATTTATTCTAATGTATTAAATTAGGGGCTGGGATTGTGGCTCAGTGATAGAGCACTTTCCTAGCATGTGTGAGGCACTGGTTGGATTCTCAGAATGGCATATAAAAAACAAGTAAAATAAAGGTCCATTGTCAATTAAAAAGTAATTTTTAAAAAATTATATATGTGTTTAGTTGGGGAGGAAAAGAATTTGAGAAGGCAAAGACGTATTTTAAAACTATTTCCATTGCATTTGCAGCGCCTGATTAATCTTGCTGAGCTGACACCATATATCTTGTGTTCCATTTGCAAGGGTTATTTAATAGATGCAACTACCATTACAGAATGTCTTCATACGTGTAAGCATACAGTTTACATTTCTAAATAACATCATTAATTTTTTGAAATGTTTAAAGAATCCTAATTTAAACTTTTCTTTTTAACAGTTTGTAAAAGCTGCATTGTAAGACATTTTTACTATAGCAACAGATGTCCAAAATGCAACGTAGTTGTACATCAGACACAACCACTTTACAATATAAGGTAAGAGGAATATTTATGTAACAATTGTTTTAAGTATACTTTTTCTGAAAGCTTGAAGTTGTGTAGTTGGGAATAAATTCATTACTCCCTCAAAATTAGAAGAAAGAGAACTACGTATTCTTTAAAGAAATGTGTGTAGAGCACTTACTATGTACCAGGCACTGTGGTATCTACTGGGGATTTGAAAAGAGAGGTAAAAAATAGGAAAAGAAAAAGAAAGGAAACAAGCCTCTTTATTTGAGGTTTTTAAATCCCATCATACAAGTTAATGGGGCTAGTTTAGTCTTGTTATTTTCATCATACAGTATTTAGAATTTTTTTTAGAAGTAAGAACTGAAACAACTGGCCTCTTTAGTACAACCTATCTGTTATGGGTCATTATAGCTGTTAAGACAAGTTTTAGTGAATGTTTAATTTCTAAAGAGAAGAAAAATACTGAAAGTAGATTAATTTAATTTTCTCAGCAAATACTGTTGATTTTGTATTGCCTTGATAGAAGAGTGTTTTATAGATGATACACAGAAGTTAAAAATACAGTGTCTACCCTCAAGCTCACATTCTTTTTGAGGGAATAATACCACAACACAGGGAATAATTTAGTGACCCATTTAAGAATCTATGAGTACTTGTGACTAATTACTTGAGATTCTCCTCGGTGAGTTATGTCTCAGGAGCTTTAAGTGAGACCTAAAAGTAACTTGCCACTGAAAAAGGAGATGCCCATTCCCCTGGGAAAACACACTTAACTCACTGTAGGAAAATGCATTTTTATGAATTCTGAGGTATTCTCCATCCTTTCCTTTTATTAGGTTGGACCGACAATTACAAGATATAGTGTACAAATTAGTGATCAATCTAGAGGAAAGTAAGTTTCTTTTATTACATAGTTGTGAACCCCAGCATCTCTGATTCTACTAGTTACATTTTAAGTGTAATTTAGTTTGTGTTTTATCATTTTTTAGGAGAAAAAAAGCAAATGCATGATTTCTATAAAGAAAGAGGTCTAGAAGTACCTAAACCTGGTAAGTTTGGGTGTATACCATAATGTATTTATAGATTAAAGAATACTAACTTACTGAAATCAGGGCCTTTGAAGTTCTTTTTTGGGGATAGCTAGTTATTATGTGATGAGAGAGAAATGTTTTGAGGGCAGTGCTACAATGTAACCCAATTTAATTGTTCATAAGAATAAAAGAATTAGGGTGTACAGGCCCTGGAGCTAGATTTTCTGAATTCACTCCTAGCTCTACCATTTTACTAGGTGACTCTAGCAAGTTACTTCAATGCGTCAGTTTCCTCAGCTTTAAAAGAGGGGTTACAGAAGCAGTTCATTAAAAAAAAAAAATCAGTAATATAAGCACTTAAAACAGTGCCTGGCACATAGTAACTGCTCAGACATTAGTTTTTATGATGCTGGTAATATCACACACAGTATAGAAGTCAGATAGATTTGGGTTTAAATCCTGTTGACTTTAGGCAAATTGCCTAATCTACTAAGCTTCAGGGGTTTTTTCTTATCAGTTAAAAAAAAAATGAAATGCATGTAATTGCTAAGCATGAGCCCTGGCACATAGTAGTGTTTAAAAAGTGTTATCTACAAATATTGATGTTCTGGTGAACTCTCTCTGTGGCCCCTGACAAACCAGCCACATACTTCAGCTTTCCATTGTGGAGGAGGTCCTTGATTTGCTGTTAATTTCACTAATTTTGACATTAGTTGATACTATTAATGAAAGGAGGATTGAGTGCTTTATGACATTTTAGTCAACATAATTCTAATACACATATAATCATTTTTTTGAAATATCTTAATTTATGAAATTTTTATCCTAAATCTGCTTTCTTGTTTGGCTATCAAATAGCTGTTCCACAGTCAGTCCCTTCAAGCAAAGGAAGAACTAAGAAAGTCCTAGAATCAGTATTTCGTATTCCACCTGAACTTGACATGTCTTTATTACTGGAGTTCATTGGGTGAGTATCCTAAAAGTCTACCCATTGATCTTAACAAAAACATTTTCTTCTTCTTTTTTTTTTTTTTTTTTTTTGGTGGTGCTGGGGATTGAACCCAGGGCCTTGTGCATGCAAAGCAAGCACTCTGCCAACTTGAGCTATATCCCCAGCCCAACAAGGACTTTTTTAAGTCCCAAAATTATGAAGTTATTCCAAACTCAGGTAAAATCAAGTTTTTCTTATATCCCTTTAAAAATTAATTATGGAGCTGGGGATAGTGGTGCATGTCTAGAATCCCAGCAGTTTAGGAGGCTGAGGCAGGAGGATCTCAAGTTCAAAGCCGGCCTCAGCAATTTAGCGAGACCCTAAGCAACTTAGCAGAATCCTGTCTCAAAATAAAAATAAAAGGGCTGGGATGTGGCTTAGTGGTTAAGCATCCCTGGGTTCAATCCCTGGTACCAAAAATAATAACTATGGAGCCAGGTATGATGACACACTCCCATAATCCCAGTGACTGGGGAGGCTAAGGCAGGTAGATCACAATTTTAAGACCAGCCTCAGCAATTTAGCCAGACCATATCTCAAACAATAAAAAAGAGTTGGGGATACAGTTTAGTTGCAAAATGCCTCTCTGCTCAACCCCTAGTACCTAAATAAATAAAATATAGAATATTTAAGATTTAGAAAAAGGTATAAATAGCTCAATTGGGGCTGAGATTATGGCTCAGTGGGGTAGAATTCGAGCCTAGCACATGTGAGGCCTGGGTTCAAACCTCAGCACTACATAAAAATGAAATAAACATATGTGTCCACCTACAACTAAAAAATAATAAATATTAAAAAAAATAGCACAATAGCCATGGATAGCTTCATCATCTGGTTTAAGAAATAAACCATTAGGCCAGATGTGGTGGCACATTTCTGTGATCCCAGCAACTCTGGAGCCTGAGAAAGGAGGATTGCAAGTTCAAGTCCAGCCTCATCAGCTTATCGAGGCCCTGAGTAATTTAGACTGTTCTAGAAAGAAAGAGTGAGATTGAAATAGGGGGGGTGGTGCCTGGGGGCTGAGGATGTGGCTCAGTGGTTAAGTGTCCCTGGTTTCAATCCCTGGTACCAATAAAAAAAAAGAAAGAAAGAAAGAAAGAAAGAAAAACCATTAGTAATGTAGCTATCATGGCTACCTATTCTGTTCATCTCTCTCCCTCAGAAGTTAATAACAACTTTCCTAAAAGTAGAGTTTATTATCATTTTTCATAGGCTTAACAAAATGTATCCTTTTCTAAACAACATATAGAATTGTTTTTACAAATTTAAAAACTTTAATTGCATACTGTGTTTTTCAACTTGCTTTTTTTTTACTCAATTTTGTGAATCACTCATGTTAGAAAGTATAACGCTAATTCATTCATTTTCACCATTGTTTGATAATTCATTAAAATGAATATGTGATGATGTACCTTTTCTTGTACTGCTAAACAATTTGGTGGTTTCCAGGTGTTTATTTTTGTTGTTGTTTTTTGCTATTACAATGTTGCTAGAAACATTTTTCTACGGATATTTTTTGTGCATATGTGGTAGATTTAAGGGTATAGATCTGCTGAGTCTTAGGATATATTTCTTCTCAGTTTTATTTTGATTTTGCCAAGTTATTTTCCAAAGTAGTTAGATATTTAATTCAAATCAATTGCTTCAAACACTGTAGGATATGGTATATTCCTTTAGAGTGCAGCTTTGTAAAACAGACTTATCGTGGTCATAGAGTTGGCATGTGTCAAACGTTCTCAGATACTCTACTTACATAACTCACAGAATAAAATGCCTTTCTTAGAAAAATTTATACTTTCCAATTTGTGTTATTGGTGACTATTTTACTTCTCAATCACTTCCTCCTTATAACTCTAGGCTGCCTGTATCATTTATTTTAGTATCTAATGTGTTATATTTATCTCCTTCTCTACTTGTATTTATCTCCTTCTCTATTATATTGTATTCTCCATTTAAGATTTATCTTGTATTTTCAATTTAAGAATGTTTAAGAGGCGAGAAACCTCCCCTATGCGCCCCCTCCCCTGAAACTCATATAAGTAGTCGTTGATGATGATGAAATAAAGATCTCTAGAGGAATTAAAAGAAACCGTGTAATTCCAAAATTTAATCCAGTAATTTCTATTATTAAAAAATGTGTTTTGGGCTGGGGATATAGCTCAGTTGATAGTGTGTTTGCCTCACATGCACAAGGCCCTGGGTTCAATCCCCAACCCTACAAAAAAAAAAAAGTTTCCACCTAAGTAGGTTAAGGAAACTAGTTAAATAATGATAAACTCATACATGAAATATTTGCTAATATAATAATGTTTGCATTCATATGGAACAATTTCTAACACGTATCGTGTAGAAAAAAAACAAAGTGTAAAAGAGCAAGTCAGTGGGGCCCAGTGGCATATGCCTGTAATCCCCAGCAGCTTGGGAGGCTGAGACAGGAGGCTTGAGAGTTCAAAGCCAGCCTCAGCAACAATGAATTAAGCAACTCAGTGAGACCCTGTCTCTAAATAAAATACAAAAAAGAGCTGGGATGTGGTTCAGTGGTTGAGTGCCCTTGAGTTCAATCTCGATACCCGTCTCCCACAAATAAGTCATATGTATCACGTGTCCATTTATTTTTGGTGCTTTTATTTTTAAGAGTGGTGGGAAATTTCTGAAAGGGCATATAAGGAAATATTAATAATGTTTGCTCCTAGGAAATGGCACTGGTGCTTGTGAATCTACGTCTAGTCTTTCTTTCTCTCTCTGTCTCTCTCTCTCACTACTGGGGATGGAATCTAGGGCCTCACCTAGGTGAGTGCTTTTTTTTTTTTTAATATTTCTTTTAGTCATAGATGGACACAATAGCTTTATTTTATTTATTTATCTTTATGTGGTGCTGAGGATCGAACCCAGATCCTCACATGTGCTAGACAAGATTCTACCACTGAGTCACAACTCCAGCTGTTGGTGAGTGCTCTTTTACTGAGGTACATCCCCAGCCCTTCAGTTCTGTATTTCTAAATTGAGAATTCTAACAGCAACTCACAGATTTGTTGTAAAAACAACAAATACTCAGTGTGTTCTGTATATACATACCTTTATCTATATACATACCTTTATCTATCTATCTATCTATCTATCTATCTATCTATTTATTTATGTGGTGCTGAGGATCGAACCCAGGGTCTCACATGTGCTAGGTCAGCACTCTATTGCTGAGCTATAACCCCAGCCTCCTCTGTGTGTTCTTAACGTGTTCTATTTTTTTCAGGGGGGGGGTACTGGGGTCGTTGAACTCAAGGACACTCAACCACTGAGCCACATCCCAAGCCCTATTGTATTTTATTTATAGACAGGTCTCACTGAGTTGCTTAGTGCCTTGCTATTGCTGAGACTGGCTTTGAACCCATGATCCTCCTGAATCAGCTTCCCGATGTTCTTTTTTAAAAAAAAAAAAAAAAAAATTTTTAGTTGTATTTGGACATAATACCTTTATTTTATTTATTTATTTTTATGTGGTGCTGAGGATTGAACCCAGGGCCTTGCATGCACTAGGTGAGCACTCTACCACTGGGCCACAATCCCAGCTCCCCCCCCACCATGTTCTATTTTTTAATTAGGCTTATTTTTATTTGTTCTACTTAGTTGTACCTGACAGCAGAATGCATTTCAATTCATTGTACACAAATGGAGTGCAACATTTCAATTCTCTGGTTGTACACGGTTTAGAGACACACCGTTTGTGCAATCATACACATACCTAGGATAATGATGTCTATCTGATATTCTTTTTAATTTTTTTTTTTTTTTTTTTTTAGTTATAGATGGACACAATACCTTTCTTAATTTATTTTTATGTGGTGCTGAGGATTGTACTCAGTGCCTCACATGTGCTAGACAGGTACTCTATTGTTGAACTACAGCTCCAGCCCTTTTACCATGTTCTTAAGATTGAAATAATGCAGAGGCCTGGGGTTGTGACTCAGTGGTAGAGTGCTTGTATTTATTTACAATAAATAAGTAAAGAAAACAAAGAGAATGAAAGATTGGTTAGGTCATGCATGGTACTCTATACAACATATAAATGCTAAAAAAATCGGATTCATATGACATATGAGTATGATATGGCTAAAACTTGATGCATAGTAGTTTTTTGTAAACCAGAGAGGTAATATCCACTGTATTTTGCATTTGCCCATCAAACGTACTGTGATCATATCTGGGTAGGTATCACATTTTAAGAGAGGTTGGTAAATCAAGGTGTAATCAAAATAATAAAAGGTTTGAGAGCTTGGGTTGTGGCTCAGTGGTAGAGTGCTTCCTAGCACGTGTGAGGCAATGGGTTCGATCCTCAGCACCACATATAATAAATAAAGGTATTGAGTCGGCCTACAACTAAAAAAAAAAGGTTTCTAAATGTATGTATTTTATTTGGCTGTGGAAGAACAAAATAGTTAGTTTCAGATCTTTAGATGATGATCGCATGGAGCCAGGTGTGATAGTAAATGCCTGAAATCCCAGCAACTCGGGAGGCTGAGGATCATGAATTTAAAGTCAGCCTCAGCAATTTAGCAAGCAATTTAGCAATTTTTTTTGGGGGGGTGGGTACTGGGGATTATAGCCACATTGCCAGTTCTATTTTGTATTTTATTTAGAAACAGGGTCTCACTGAGTTACTTAGTGCCTCACTTTTGCTCTGAACTCACCATTCTCCTGCCTTAGCCTCCTGAATTACTGGGATTATAGGCATGCACCACTGCACCTGGCCCCCCCAAACTTTTTTAAGTCGAATTATCACATAAGAAAGATCTATCTAATTTACAAGAGCATCAATAGACAAAATGAGAACAGTAGTAAGGTATAGGCTGCCAGGAGAAATATGTTCAATTTAGTACAAGAAAGACTTTCTAACAAAGTTGCCCACAAGTAGAATGGGCTCCCTTTGTCAGTTAAGAAACTTTCTGGAAGTTGTCATGATAATACATGCTTGTAATCCCAGTGATTTAGGAGACTGAGGCAGGAGGATCAAATTTTTGAAGACAGCTTGAATAACTTAGCCAGATCCTGTTTCAAAAGAAAAAAATTTAAAAAGGCTGAGGATGTAGCTCAGTAGTAAAGCATTCCTGGGTTTATCTCCCAGTACAAAGAGAAAAAGAAAAGAAAATCCCTCTAGATATTCAGGCAGAAGTCATTTGCCCATACATCTCACATTCTACAGGGATTTTTTTGTTGTTTGTTTGTTTTTTGATGCTGGGGGATGAACCCAAACCTTGTGCATGCACATGTTTTACCACAGAAGGCACACCTAGCCCAAGCGATCATTCTTGTAATGAATAGAAGTTTTATTTTATAACTCTAATGTTATATTGTAATCTTATATATATGTAATATATTTGTACTTTATTAAGATAGCTATATTATATAAACAATTGTTTCTAACCTAATATATAGATTATATTAATATAGTATACAAATTATGCAGCATATTATATATATAATGTCTATCTCTGTATAAACGTGTGTGTGTGTTTGGTGTGTATGTGTATGGTGCTGGGGATTGAACCCAGAGCCTTGTGAAAGGTAGGCAAGTACTTTATCATTGAGCTATAATCCCAACCCCTTTTAGGTATTATATTTTTATAATAAAGAATATTATGTGGAGATAATGCAATTGTGTATTGCTTGTTCATAACATGATAGGGAAGAAGGAACATATGAAGTGTGAATACCAGCCTTATCATATATAGCTAGCTCTGTGTGACTTGAAGCAAGTTATTCAACCTCTATCATCTCAATTTTCCCATCTGTAGAATGGGAACACCTATTCCTGATTTGTAGGGCTATTGTCAGAATTAAATGAAAATCATACATAGTATAAGAAGATAATGCCTGGAGCACGGTATATGCTCAACACAAGTTACTGCTCCTTATCTCCCTGTGATATAATAAAGAAATCCCTTTGGGCTTTTCTGTAAAAGGCAAACAGTAAAATCAAGCCCAGTGGTTATGTTACAAGTAAAACAGCAGAAAGGTGGCAGCCTTATTGTAAGAAATTATATCAAATTGCTGTGGAGGGAAAATACATTCATTATGATTTTAAAAAACAAACATTGTTCTTCAAGTTGGAAAATGTTACAATAAGTGTGGGGAAAATCTAAATATTAACGATATCCTTTTTTGCAAATTTATTGTACAACATGCTGACTACAATTAATAATAATGTGTTACATGCTTGAAAAATTGCTTAAATATTCTCACTGCACACACACACACAAAACAAGTATATGAGCTGGACCTGGTGGTATTTGCCTGTAATCCCAGCAGTTTGAGAGGCTGAAGTAGGAGGATCGCAAATTCTAGGCCAACCTCAGCTACTTTGCAAGACCCTCAGCAACTTAGGGAGACCCTGTCTCAAAATAAAAAATAAAAAGGATTGAGGGTATAGCTCAGTGACAAAGTACATCTGGGTTCAATCTGCAGTGGGCCTCCCCCACAAAGAAAGTTATGAAGGGATGGATATATTATCTCAATTTAATCATTTGATTGTACATATATATTGAAGCTGAAATGGCACATTGTACATTGTAAATATATACATTTTTAAAATTTTCAATTATATACTAATAATGCTAGATGAGATGGCAAGTAAATACAATTCTAGCACGTTTCCTATAAAGAATATATTTTTAACTTCTGAAGTATGGATGGTAGTGGCTGGATAAAACTGCCTTCATCTTACCACTAGGTGGCAGAAATGACAATTCATTTATTTATTTCCTAAAGACTTAGGTGACTTTTACATTAGACTGATGTTTCTCAAATATTTATATTCAAGTTATTTTTCTGTTGTTTTATGACTAGACATATAACTTAAAGTATTAAATATTGATTAACTTTGCTCTCATTTTTCAGTGCTAATGAAGGCACGGGACATTTTAAGGTATTTTACTTTTATTTTTTTTCATTCATTTCATAAGAGAATTCCTTAGCACACAAATTTGGTTCAGATTAGTAACCAAATGGAGACTGTCTTACTTCATAATAAAAATATTTTTAAATAAGTTATTGAAATATGAAGTATATTCTACAGTGACCTATTATAATAGGTTCATGAAGGGAAGTGTTATTAAGTAGGGATTTGTTATTAATTCAGAACTGTGGATAATTTTTCAATTAAAAAAAATGCTATGTTAAAAAAAGCTAAAACCAAATGCTATGTTAACTTGGTGATTAATACAATTTCAAAGCATTTTTTGCATAGTTGGCATTTAGTTAAGTATGAGCTTAAAGTTTTATTTACATATAACATGTTTGACTCAAGTTAACCTGCCCTAACTTGTTATTTTAATCATTCACTGAGATTTTAGAGGTAAGAATGCATTCCTTTGTAACATACTTAAAGTTCAGAGTTGTCCTAAAGGCTCAAATCACAGGTGCCATTGATATAGTGTTGGTGCTATAGTATGAGTTATTCAGGAAAAGTCAATTTTTTAAAAAGGATTAACTGTTTAGGTTTCCAGTGACTTTTGTCAAAATCTATGTAACTTTTGTCAAATTATACCTGGTTGGACATACTGCTTTGTTTTGTGAACACAATAACTTAAAGAAATAATTAAAGCATAAGAATACGTAGGTACTTCTCTGGATAAAGTACATTATATAGATGTCTCTCAGAGTTTATTGTGATGGAGGGAATGCAATGTTAAGTCCCCATGATTTTTGGTGACTTTAAAGTATCAAACTATTGGTAATTAACTTTAGAAATTGTTTCATAGCATTTGTTTAGGAAACTGTCATATCAATGAATATTTCATAATACATGTAAGAAAATGACAGTTAAGTTTCTAAATGGTACAATGACAGGGTTGTATGATTCTGGAGTTCCCTGAAGACATCTCTGCACTGAGTTATGGTGGCTTGACAGGCCAGCATTTTTTAGAACTCATGAAGAAAGAATTGGGAAATAAATTGAAATGTTACTCTGCTGCTTCAAAAGAAGCACATGTACATGTAGAATTTAGTTCCTGATTATTGCACATCAAAAAGCAAGATGACAGAACCACCTGTAACATATTCTTGCAAAAACAGATGGGAAGGTGATCATGCTTACAGAGTTGATTGCTCATTTCCTGGAAATATTGGGGACAAAGGAATACAATGACACAAAGTAATAGGTCCAGTGTAGATAGTGGAAAACTACATGGCAAGTAATTCTTTTCTTCAGCAAATAAAAGGGAAAGAAATGAAGAAAAACCTATTGATTAAAGTAGCTGAAGGGATATATAAATTAATTTCAATGTATGAGCCTTATTTGGATTTGATTTGAAAAATAATCTGTGAAAAGCTTTTGAGCCACTTGTGGTGGCACACACCTATAATCTCAGTCACTTGGGAGGCTGAGTCAGGAGGATTGTAAGTTCAAGACCAGTCTAATTAACTTAGTGAGACCCTGTCTCAAAATAAGTATAGCGTTCGGGATGTAGCTCAGTGGTCGAGTGCTTGTCCAGCATGCATGAAGCCCTGGGTTCCATCCCCAACATGGCAAAAACAAAACTAAAATGTATAAAGGGATAGAGATGTAGTTCACTGGGATTCAATCTCCATTATTTGCAAAAAAAATTTAAAGTTTTTGAGATAATATCCCCCATTTGGAAACTACCCAAATATCCATCAACTGATGAATAGTTAAACAAAATGTAACATATCCATGTGATAGGATATTATTTGTAAAAAGAATGATGTACTGACACATGCTACAGCATGGATGAACCTTGAAAACACTGTGCTAAATAAAAGACACTAGTCACAAAAGGCTATCCATCTATTGTATGGTTCCATTTATATGAAATATCCAGAACTGGGAAATCTATAGAAGCAAAGTAGATTAAATGGTTGCCAAGATTATAAGAGAGAATGACTTAATTTATATGGGATCTTTTTGGGATCATGAAAACATTTGAACTTAGATAGTGATGGTAGTTGTTCAACTTTGCAAAGATGCTAAAATCCACTGAATTGTACATTTTTAAAGGGTGAATTTAGTGGTACATGAATTATATCTCAAGAGAACTGTTTTTTTTTAATAATTAAGCCATGATCCAATAGAAATTTAAAGTAGAAGCATTGTTTATAATTTATTTGATATAAACTTATTGGGAATATAAAAATTGTATCTGGGCGCTGGGGTTGTTTCTTAGCAGTAGAGTGCTTGTCTAGCATGTGTGAGGTCCTGGATTCGATCCTCAGCATCACATAAAAAATAAATAAATAAAAAGTATTGTGCCCATTACAACTAAAAAATAAATATTTTTGAAAAATATCTGGGCTGGGGTTGTGGCTTCGTGGCAGAGCACTCGCTTAGCACGTGCAAGGTCCTGGGTTCAATCCTCAGCACCACATAAAAAGAAATAAAGCTATTATGTCCAACTATAACTAAAAAATAAAATATTTAAAAAATTGTATCTG